GCAATGTATGGCAACACCTCTAGTGCGATTTTCTGCACTGAAAGTAGAAAAATATAAAACTTGAAAAATTGGCTTAGCTGTAGCCCATTCATTTCAGAATGGGCTACAGCTAAGCTGTAGTGTCCGTTGCCGGCCACATCTGGCCGCTCCAGTACATGACAAGAACACCAAATCTTGCAAGACCTGTCATTTAGGGGTTGACAAAATGCTACAGAAATAACATAAATGACAAAATTACTTCGAAATTGCAACAAAATGTAATTAATGTACCTATATGGTATACTTGGCAACGGACACTACATGGCAACGGACACTACACCCTTGAGGTTTTTTGACATTATTTCATATAATTACAGCAATAGACTGAAATAGCTACTGTGTTTTAAGTCAGCATCTTCAGCTGTTTCAAAACCTGAAATCATATGCACCCACAGCTTTTCTATTTTAAGTTATTACCGAGCAACGGACACTACACATTTTCTCGGACAAAAAGACAGGTAACTGTAAGCCATCAGCCATATTAACCCAAAGGACAAGCAACATACAAACACATGTTTTGTGTCATATATGGATTTACCTTGCATAACATGCAAAATGGCCAGTTCTATCACCATCCTTTTTAGTACAGGGAGATGAGTTAATTGCAATGTGTTAATTTATGAATTTTACATAACGTGTACAACATATTGATAAATGCGCTCTAGAAAAGAGAAATTTCCAATCATCATCAGGTTTTTTGCAAAACATATCAGACTGAGCATGTCTGAACATATTGCAAATCTTTTCATTCCATTTTTTTGTTCCCAAATTACTTAAAAGCATATTTAAAAAACTGGCATTTTTCAAGTGCAACAGCATAACGTAGATTTTATGCCAATTTCTGGTCTTAAATTGGCCAAAGCATAAGTTTTAAACATCTTAACACCAAATCTCTTCCTGATTGTCTGGAAAATAACTGTACTAGTATAACAAGTTTGATAAATGTCAACAGTATGCGATAAATACAGAGTAAGATTGACATAACGATGCACGATGCCATTGGCGCACCCTGATCTCGGAATAGCCGTGAGACAAGCCCAATTTCTCACAAGTAGTGAGGACTAACTGACCCAATAGGAGAAGAAGGGTTTATGAGGCTAGTCGGGAAAATTCCCTACCCTATTTTAGACCATGATAATGGTTTGTTCCACTTTCACTCACGTGGGTTCTTTAACGTGCTTGAGGTGTGTCTCTCCTCAAACACGGGACCTCCATTTTAACGTCCCATCCGATAGGACGTCCCTAACTGAAGCTAGGTACTCACTTCCACCTGTCAAGTGAGTGAAGTGAGGAAAGTCGTGTTAAGTACCTTTTCCAAGGGTACAACGTCGGGGCATATGTTCGAACTTGTTCGGGTACGACCCGGAGTCAAACCCGGGTCTCCCTGTTTCATAGTCCAGTGATCTACCACTACGCTCGGTTGGGTTAAGGCGGCCTAGGCTGATATTCATGTTCGAGTTCGGGCGTGTGTCTGCACGATTGCCACAATCATGTTTCGAACCCGAATCATGTTCCACCATGTTCGATATGACGTAATTCGAATAGAACGCGTGTTCGAATTCGGGGTTACCGGCGGTCATTTGTATGTTTCCCCTGTAAACCCGCGTTGTTACGCATTTTATTCACGGAGTATGACTTAAACGGCTTTACGCGCAGCTGAAAACAGCATAATTGATCTTTAGAGTAATCCATGTTTACGTATTATCACTTTTTTATCAAAATTGTCCGAGGCTATTTTGCATATAAGTCGATATTTTTTAACTGTGGCGATTTTTTAACGAAAAATGACAGAAAAATAGCTGTTTCTGCCGTTTTTGGCCCAAAAAAACAATGTAACTGTCATTTAAAACAAAATAGCCTCGGACAAAAATTATTAATAGGTGGTTGGCTTTCTACTTGTAAAATATCATGATGAAAGGTGTTGTTACCGCTTGCGCGTAAAGCCATGAAGTAAACAGCTTTTTTTAAACCAAAATGTTGATTTTTAACCCAAAAATCCAGAAGTAATAAAAACAAAATAACCTTTATTCAATGTGTTTCAAGTACTACTAGAACTGTGTGAAGTTTCGTTGCGGTGCGACCAAGCTATCAAAAGTTACAGACATATGTATGAAATACTACTCATAGTATGCCATAGGCTGCCTTAACCCAACCGAGCGCCACACGCCGCCACAAATGTGTACACTGTTGTGTTTCCTGACCGACCCTAGAAAAAACTTGTGACCTTACCCTTTCTTGGAGTGATGAAACGTTGAAATTTTACTTTGTTTAACAGTTACTAGTATTGTTTAACTTTGATCAACATACATGTATGCCATGTGTAAGAAGACTCCATATTAAACGGTTCCTTTGTTTGCAGGTATTTTGTCTGCTGATGAGCTGCGAGGCTTCTGGATCTCCTGGTCCCCGGATGGAACCATAGCCGTGGGTCGGGAGGGAGAAGGCAGCCCGTTCCTGCAATGGCAGGACCCAAAACCGCTGCCTTTCCAGTACTTAGGTTACTCCACAGGATATGGCAGCACCGGACAGTTTAGGTTTCCATGCCAACGTATGTATAATAATTTGCATTATGTGCATTGTATTTCCTTTTTTGACAAACATTTTAAACAATAACGTTACACACGTTTTTTCACCAAGCAGGTAAAGATCTCGTCTCTTGGAGTCCTCTTGTGTCTTGTGTATTACATTTTTGCAGATTTGTTTTCATGAGGGAATAATATTATGTAGATTTAATGGTGCATGACCTGGTAGTAAGTAAAAGACTGTGCGTGTGTACATGGTTGTAGGTCACTGGCAGACAGTGTCCATTTATCAGTTCGAAGAGGGTGGCCAACTGTAGCAAATATACCTTAATTTACCTTTGCTACCAAGCCCTTGCATATTCTTACTGCCACACATTGTACCATGTACGATTGTCGAGCAATAAAGTTAATTCATGAACTGGGAAATTCCTAGCCCGGGGGCCAGACCCATAGCACACTGGACACAAAGTATCTCAGTGAGCATACTTTGTTTCCAGTGTGCTATGGGTCTGGCACCCAGGCTAGGAAATTCTTTCTGTATCTTTATTTGTATATCTGCCCTTTGGCATAACACGCCAGCTTTGCAGGCACGCGGCGCGGTGGCAGGTGGCTACATTACACCAAAGGTCAATAGAAAAAGCTAAATTTTATTTATTTAGTAATGATTTTGAAACCTCTGTTTTAGGACATCCATTCTGGTCAGCATCTTCAGAGTCTGATTCAAAGCACGCAGCTTATCGTGCACACATGAGCACTCTCGAAACCGCCAATGCAGCGGGTGCGTGGGAAGCAGAAACCCAGAACCAGGACCAATGGCTGATGAGGGATCTTGGTGAAGTGAGCGCCGTCAGTGGCATTGTCACCAAAGGCAGGAACTACAGCCCTGATTGGCCATGGGGCATGCATGACCAATACGTCACATCCTTCATCATTTCATACGGTGAAGAAAATGGCGATGAGAAGTTCTACACCAATGCCCAAGGGCAAGATATTGTAAGAATCATTGAATTTCCTTCTAGATCTTAGAATGTTAAACTTTACTGACTCACAATAATTTATAACAAATTTGCTATTTTTGTCCATTAGTAGCAAGTAGAACTTGATTTTCATGGCATGTACAAAAAGTCTTCATACGCTGCTTAATTGTACTACTAAGGTTTTTCCGGGGAACAGCGACAGAGACACGGAGGTCATCAATGACTTCAGAGACTACAGCGGCCCCATTACTGCACGCTTCATCAAAATCCATCCACAAACATGGAATGAGCTCATCGCTATGCGGGCGAGGATCCTGAAAGGTTTGAACCATTTTAAGAGCAGCAGCATATATTTCGGGTACCCCAAATGACGGCACGATGTGAGATTACTCATTGGATGTGCATTTGCACGCGTGCTAGACCTCAGGCTGACACATTTTGCATGCATGTATGTCCTCGCGCTGCGCTGCCTTCGCACGCACATAGATTTTCTTACTACAAACAGAAGTAAACACGCATTTTGTGGGTGCAAAAGTGGAGGGCAGAATGACATAATGCTTACCAAGCCCAACCTAACTACATTTTGGCTTATATTACATGGTTTTACTGGCAATGGCATCGATCCTTTCCATGTCGAAATTTCATTTTAATTTACTACTTTGAATAAACGTATGACCTGGGTTCGAGAATGTAGTCATATGTATGAAACATAAACCATGGTGTAATAGCAGAGAAAGTTTAAATTTCATTGCACAATTACCACCTCAAGTGATCACTCACTCACTCACTTACTCTCACTCACTCATTCACTTACACACTCACACACACACACACACACTCACTCACCCACTCACTCACGCACTCACTAACTCACTCACTCACTCACTCACACACACACACATACACACGGACTATCTTTTGCTTCTCATTACATTCCAAAACGTGCCCATTACTGATTCAATTGTGAATGAGTGAAATATCCTGTTTCCATACAAAGAGCCGTTACCGACACCTGTCAGTCACCCCATGACATCAACCCGTACCACTACTGAGGATGACACAAGCGGAACACGGAGAGACATCACCGTAACTTCCACATCTTTGGAGTCTACCACCAAATGGACAACAGGTAATCATCCTTCACTTAGATATATTGCTGCAGTCAATATGCGAAGGCTACTAATAGGTGTTAATTTTCAAGCAGAACTATTTACTTAGTAAGTACTTTATGTCTTGGGCATCGTGGGGAGGGACAGTTGGCGACAGATGGCTAGTCTGGAGGCTGATGTTACAGTCATGCCATACCTAGTCAGGGTGTCCTTCACACTTTCTATCCATGTCTTCCTGACACGTCCCTTGGCCTTAGTACCTGGGTCGGGGAATGTAATGTATGAAACATAACAGAGAAAGTTTAAATTTCATTACACAATGTATCGTATAAGTGAATCATTATGATACATTCTATGATCATATGATGTCAGTTTCAGCTTCATTGAAGTTTGAAATCACTGATTTCTTATTTTCTCGCTGCTAACTGTTGAGTGTTAGGTCTAGGAAAAAAAACAGTTGTGTTCCCTGTTTCAATCCTGAAAAAAATAGGGTCAGTAGGCAGGGATGATCTGTTTTTTCCTTATAATGATTCTTTTTTTATTAGACCTTGGCCACCTTTAGTGATCCAAATTGTACAATACAGTTTAACAAAGTAAAACTTACATTGAGGACACTTATATTTTCAATGTCAATGTTGGAAAACTGATTGTACAACATTTCATCACTCGGAAGTCAGATCATGGATCTAGAAAAGGTTAATCGGATCAAAAAATTCATGTCCCTTGTAGGGGTCCACCCCCCAAAAAGGCTAGGGTCCGCATTTTTTTCTAGGGTCAGTTGGGAAACAAGAAACGCAACTGTTTACATTTTTTTCCTTGGCCTAATATCATGGCCCCAATTTCACTTCATTTCAAAACAGTGACACCTCCACCAGAGGACTTGCGAGTAACGACCATCACTGGTACAACTGTCAAAGCTTCATCGACAGCGACCACCAATCCCAGCGCTACAGGCCCAGACGTCAATGTCAATGTTGCAACTGGTACTGTAAACTTTTGGCAATGTGGTTGCTAGCTAGAGAGTAGAACTGCAACAATATTAGTTTTGACAGTTGAATAATTTTATAGATAAGTCATGAAGGTGACCCCCACATGCCAGGTTGATGCATGTCAGTGTGTAATATTTGTACAAGAATTCTGTAAGTAAGTAAATGTTGTTCATTAGATCACAATCATACACAGTCGTGTACATTTTACGATCCTCCCTTTTAGTAGTTTTACAGTACTGTTCCAATATATTCACTGAATCCCAAAACACTTCCTGGAAGTTTAAGATCTCTGATTTCTCTTTTTGTAAACTGTTGAGTGTTATGTCCCTCACACAATTTCACTGTAAGTTATCTTTTCAAAACAGCGATTCCGCCCCCAGAGGACTTGCGAGTAACGACCGTTACTGGTACAACTGTCAAAGCTTCGTGGACAGCGACCACCAATCCCAGCGCTATCGGCTACAGAGTGTGGATAAGGGAAAGGGAGTTGGCTGACGCCCTTTTCACACATTTCCTTCCAATCAGGCAAAGGGAAGTGACATTCAAGGAGCTCATACCAGCCACAGAGTACATCATATCGGCAACAACTATCAACATGGACATCGAAGGGCCAGAAGTCCAAGTCACTGCTGTAACTGGTACTGTAAACCATTTTTCGTTAATATTTTGTTTAAAAAGAATGAATTACCGGTAACAACTTTAATGTTCTACATGATTGTATAATGTAAGTTACCTGCATAGTATGATTGTTTTCCTTTGCAGAAGGAAAACATAATGATTATAATATTTGTTTTTGCTCTGTTTCTTCTTCTCCTCCAAACACATAAGGTCAATGACCTGGACCAGATGTCTATCACCATGGTAACCAGTGAGACACCTTGTGGTGTTGGATTACATTATGTAGCAATAGCTGGACAGAATTGGACTGTGTCACCAGATATATGTTTTGTCAATAAACAGAGTTACAAAATTTATAATAGTTTGTTGGGCTAGACCGTGTAAAGGAAAAGTTTATTATTTGCTTTGCAAATGTTACCTGTGTCAGTGAGTGTCTAGTAGTATGTTATTACACACATTATTGTTGATGTACATGACATTGTATATTTTCAGAAACGGAACCACCTTCAGCATTGTATGTTGAAGACAGGACGATCGACTCAGCTGTCATCTCGTGGCTGCCTCCAAAAGGTGCGATCATCGAGTATTCCGTCAGCTACACCGGCGCTGGAAAAAGTACATCTATGACCAGTCCAGGAGATGCACACAGCTGTGCGTTGACAGGTCTGATCCCCGGTACATGGTACGACATTGAAGTGGTGGCTGTGAGCAGGATTGGAAGGAGCATCGCTGTCACCACAAGTGTTGTTACAGGTTAGTGACAGGATCTGATCAGGGTACTTAAAATGAATGCTGTCAAATATGTAAATCAGGTCAGGCTGTACTTTTAACTTGATGGTACCAAACACTGGTGAGAAAGGCATATTAATTTGTTTCCTTGTGATACATGTGTGATTTTATTATTATATAATTTATAATAACTCTCACCTCCTGCAAATTCTTATCATTTTGAGAATTCAAATTAATTTTACTTCCAGGACAGAAGTATTGTTTAGGTGCTGTTTTTTTGGGGTGTGTGTATGTTTTGGTTCCAGAGTACTGTACGTGACAAAAAAAAGTGGTGGCTTTTACTGTTGATACATTATGTAGGATGTAGACATGCATGGTTGAAGGTTACCCAGCATGTGCCAGGTTGACAAAGTACTGAGTGTGTAATAAATTGTGCAAGAATATCAATTATTTAAGTGTTCAGTACCGATTAGATTACATCATACAATCCCCTTCTCAATTCCAAACATATCACAAAAACCCCCAATACATGTACCTCCCTGAAGTCTCTGATTTCTATCATGCTTACTGCAGAAGCACTGTGTCATAGTCTATCACAAAACTTGTAGGTAATCAGGGCTCGAAATACTGGGTGCATGTGCACCTTGGTGCAATCAAATTGGAGCTGTGCACCCATTTTTTTTCTGTGGGTGCACCCAAATATTTTTGTAGGTATTCTTTACATAATTTATCAAAATGTATAATACTGTACAAGATATTCTTGGCATCTAAGTGACAGATAAATCTTTCTTGTAGTACTTGCCTTAATGTTTAAGATTTTGAAGTTAGCTCCCATTTCGGATTCAAGCTCAGAAGAGAAGCAGTAAGATCTGTAATTATGTTTTGTTTTATATGGTGCACCCAAAAAATGTTTTGTGGACCCAATTTTTTAGGTTGGGTGCACCAGTGCACCTATTCCCAAAAATGAATTTCGTGCCCTGGTAATGATATCATGCATTTTTAACTTTCAGAGACCGACCCACCGTCAGCTGTGGAGGTGAGTAGCTGGTCTGCTACGTGGATGGTTCTGGAATGGAAGCCTCCCCTGGCCAGGGTCGTGTCATACGAGGTCACGGTTTCACAGACGTTCAGCGAAGAATTGTTCAGGTAAACCTTAATTGTCTTCGTTAGGAAGACTATGGAATTGTCTCGCCGTATTGTGGGTGACTGCGGGCTTAGAGTAACTCTTGTCATGATTCGATGTCCATGATTTTTGGCAGGCAGATTACCGTTGTTGAGGCCGAAGTCAAGTGCAAGTTTGAGCTTTGTGGGGGGTCTGTACTTCACTGCAGTGGACTTTTTGTGTTTGTGGCTTGTTAGCAAAATAACTCAAGTATGTAGAATAAAAATTTAGGAAAAAAAAGGAGTACAGACTCTGAGATTCTTTTTCACTCCAGACCAAATTGATTTCTAGTATTAAAAAACATTTGTTTATCTACTAGAGAACAATGTCCCTCTGACGAAGGCATGTCAGACCTCTAGTTTGTTATGCTATCAGGTTGTCATTAATGTTCTTAATCTTATGCATGTACATGTATGCATGTTACTTATTTACTATTATCATATAGCCAGATGACGTCGACCAATCAGAAGGCTCCATTTCCCCCAGAACCCAGGTCATTAATATCCGATATACGGACCCGCGGGTCCGTAACCGACGATACCATTACATGGCAGGGTGGTGTTTTCTTCTAACCTACTTCAGATTCTAAAGACCTTTCTGATAGACTTGTTTGTGTAGAGTAGTAAATTAATTTCGTTTTGATAAAACTAAATACAATTAAAATCAGCGGTAGATTCAGGAAAAAAATTATTCATAAACCGCAGAGATGGATTTGGACAATAGTGGTGGAGAAACAGTTGAGGAAATTCAGCGGTAAACTTCAGCGGTAAACTTCAGCGGTAAATTTAGTTCGTATCTGTAACTTTCAGCTTTAAATAATTGGTTTGTTGCGAAGAGAATTCACTTCAATGCAAAATTAAAATATCTATATGTTACACAGGAGTTATTTCCCTTATGTGTCAGCTTGATGTACATGCATATGTGACAATGTCTATATGATAATAATGTTAATGACCCGCTTTCCTTCGGTGTATACGGTGTCATAATTCATGGTCGGTTCCTATAACCACCTCATAAACGACCTCGTCCGCTCCGCGGCCTCGGTCGTTCATTCGGTGGTTATAGGAACCGACCATGAATTATAATAATAATAATAATAATAATGCGGGTTTTATTTGAAACACCTCACAGCCCGAAGGCTGAATTACATGTCCCGTACATTGTATAAAACATATTGTGGCAATAAAATCATTACATTTTTACAATACAACACTAAAAGTTAAAATACCAACCTCATTAAAAGTACTAGATTAAAATCAAATATATAACGGCATGTACATTACAGGATTACATTACAGAGTGCTGTTTAAAAGCTGGACGAGGTAAGGCAACGGGCTTTTCGCATATCTTGCTGTGCGTGCTGGCAATTGGTCTAGTTTTTTGTTCTGTCTTGTTTCCCTCCCACTGATCTCTCCCCGAAGTCGAGGAAACCAATGTCTGTACTGTTCAGACTTGTACAGCTTCTGGGCAAAACTTCAGGCTAC